CGACGTGCAATGAAGCGCGGATTCTACTAGGGTGATTCCCTGCAAGAAAGCAAGAATTGCGTTTCTTGGCCATTCTTGCTGGTAGTTGATTCCCTGCAAGAAAGCAAGAAATAAGAGCAAGAATAGTAACCATAAATCAAAGAGACTTCTTGCACCAAGAAAGCAAGATCTTGTGACATTTCTAGCGCAAGATCTTGGGCAAGAAAGCCCTGGCAAGAAAGTCGATTAGGGTTATTGTTTGTGTCTGTCAACTTAGTTGGTTCAACTAGCATGCCTAACTCAATTATCTTCATTAATTAATTAAGATAAAATAAAAACGCAAATGTCACTGTTTGATGTAAAACACTATGAGATGATAAAAAACCAAATTTATAATGAACAAGCTATTGATGTTGATCAAGATGTTCTTAAAATATCATCAAAGAAAATGAAAACTATTGAAGTTGGACCATGTTCAGCAATTATTTTATTTTTAACAATAAAAAATGTCAATTATGCTGCCTGTTATCACTGTAGTTTGACCGAAACGACGCAATTTGAATTTAAAACAATTCTTACGAAAAGCTTTAAAAATTTTTTTGATGTAAGTAACCCGTATATGTTACATAATCAGATTTGGGCACGAGAATAGGTAATATCTTATCACCATGAGCTTTTTCTGATTTGACTATACTGATCGTTTTATTATTAGAAGTTATTGACAAAGTTTTTATGTATTTTAGCTTATTAGAAATAAAGTATTTGATACTGAAGAATTATCTTCATTGGTACCGCCAGATTGTTTATTAAACGATATTAATGTTGATTCGATTATTATATTAGGCGGAGCTCATGATGAGCCAAATTTCAAAGAATTTATCAGAAGTTTTTATTCGTCATTTAGTCATGGTACGTTTAATGTTAGACGTAAAGAGATGCCATCTCTTTACGTCTAACATTAAACGTACGTATGCGATACTCGTCATGATGACGAGTATCGCATCATCCACCTTTTCAAACACATCAACAAAACAATATTTAACTATCATGGAACAAATTATTATGTTGAATGATAAAAAAGTACTAGTGTATGGTCCTATAAACATTCAAGAAGATGTCAAGTCATCGTGTCAATATCTTATGAGATCATCTTTAGCACTACAAATTGATCCTACAACAAAAAAGATTGATTTCATTTGCGAACTTGAACGTATCGATAAAAAAGAAGAATATTTTAAACAAACAATAGGCGAATGGATGCCATTATATGGACGAATCATTGACGAAAATGAATTAACAATAGAAGTCAAAAAAAGTATAGAGTTGTTTGATAATACCGAAGATTTACAACTGAAGCAATCATTAGGAATAATTTTCCAAAATGAACCTTATCTATTCTAAAATCATATTCATTTGGAAATATGTAAACGATAAATGAGTCAGATACATTTGCTGTTAATATTTGATGACGTCTTTCAAAATTCACTCAATTTTCTAGTTTTACGTGTCGTTTATCACGTTTGTTTGTATATATGATGTTATATGCTTCTGTTTTTCCAAATAGGTCTGTTTACTTGAAGAAATCTACCCATAACAATTAGAATTAGTACTTGGTCACATTCCTAGGAAAAGTAATCGAAAGATTACCGCGGAGGATTTCTGATTTCAATAGTATAGCATTTTTAGTCCAAAACGCTTTCTGACGTGAGTTGCGTTGCTATGAGTCCACTGTGTACATAAGTTGCAGACAAGGCCCACACAAACAATAAACTATACCGTCAACAATGGAAGTATCTCTTACTTTTCATTTAGAAAAATATGACATACAAATTATATAAGACATTTATGTGGAAAAATCCCTATGAATGGGGCACAATAGTTGCATGAAGAAGGATAAACCCATGTCCTTAAATCCATGTCCCAAAACTGGAAAGAAATGACTGATTGTAGAGAATACCTTCCCAAGAAATTTTTTTTAGAAATGACTGATATCAACCGATTGATCGTGCGCTTAATCACGATTTTTAAGCAGAGTTTTTTGCTGATTAATCATGGTTTTGAGATAAATCGTCGATAAATCTCGATCAAACGCTGTTTTGGCTGAAATTGTATATTTTTTAGAAAAATCGACGATTACTTGCGATTCCAGCAAAAATGCCACGAGATTTATCGACGATGTTTCTCAAAACCGTGATTAATCAGCAAAAAAACTCTGAAGCGCACAAGTAATTGGTCATTTCTTTCCGATTTTAATGACATGCAAAGTTCGAACTCTTATTTTCGTAGATAAGAGTGAAAAAAGTTCAACGTTTCCGAAACACTTTTTTAAAAAGAAAACGGAGCAAAAAAGCTGAATGCACATACTTACCTGTCATCGTAAATCGAAAAATAAAAACGACGACTTAGCTTGTTTGAACAAGAAGTTATCTTCTTGGTATTGAAGAAGGAAATAAAGCACATGTCTGCGCGTATATCACTATATATAGAGCTGAGAAAGATAGGAGTTTTCTTTTCTATTTTTCGTTTCTTATTCACGTTATACATAGTAGAGCTGCGACAAATAGCGATTTTGTTTTCTTTTCTTATTCACGTTATATATAGTGTGTGCTCACGTTCCAATCAGGGGTCTCAGATTCGGTGACTCATGGGGGACAGAACAAAGGACTGTCATGGTGATTCCTTTGTTCTATCCCCCATGAGTCACCGAATCTAAGACCCCTGGTTGCAATGTACGGTACACATATATAACATACATTACGACTGTTCTCTCTGTAGAGTGATGTCACGTTTCCTTCTTTTCCTTAGTGTGTACGAACGTTATTGCTCGATACTTTTCTCCTTTGTGTGTGTGTGTACAGTCTAGTAAAACGTGTACATACATGCAAATGAGTCATCACTCTAACACTGGTGCTGTTTCTCAAAATGAGGTTCACGCGGTTCAAAATGTGTCTGCACAAAGAAAAAATAACGATCCAAATTGGTTTTTCGATGATATCTCAAAGCAATGGTTTTCTCACTCAACAACAAGTCAACAGCAACAAGGGCAAATATCTTTCGCAATTTCTAACAACAACAACAAAAGACCTTACTCATCATCGTCTCCACCGTCAAAAATGATGAAACGACGCGTCGCGTTTACGCCAGAGCCGTTTCCACCGTTTATTCTATCATTCACTGGAAATACTCCCGGTCCGAATAAAATACGAACAAAATTAATTGATCTGAAAAATATTCATAAATGCCCAACTACGTGTCGTTTTAACTCAAAGAAAGACTTACTTTTATTCCCACAAGATGATGCAGCACAACAGCATCTTTTGATTAACCTTACCTTAAATTTATTTGGTGATAGTTTCACTTACACGTCACGTGCTGCGAAAGTTATCCAGAAAACGTTTAGCTGTGTATTGAAAAATGTTGATTCATCTATAAATGAAACCGATCTATTAACAGATAT